AAGGAAGCAATTTCACATGTGCAAGTGACACATACAGAATAAATGAAGCAACACCTCAGGGAAAGCATGTGCATGTACTCATGATAAAGAAAGTATATTTTATGCTCTGCCCATGTGGGTGATTCAGTGAGCTGCGATACACATTCGTCAGGCCAGGTTCTTTGTTTAAGCCTGGTAGAGCACACACTGCAAACAGCCAGAGGAAAATATCTGCAGCTTCTTTAAAAACTTGCTTTTTTTTTTCTCTCTCCTCCAGGGCAAGAAAGTTCTCAGCTGCCTCCCACCTTGTTCTGTAGGACACAGACAGACAGAGCCTCCAAAAGGTCACACCGCCAAGCTTAGGAACATATGTGCTGCGTTAGAGGGAAATAGTCTAGAAAACTAAATTATTGTGACTAGCTCAATTAAAAGCCTATGGAGAAGGTCAGGCAACAGACAACCTGAAGGTACCTCCTAGTCACTGATAGCTAAACGTGAAACCCACACAAATATGACACAAATAGTACTATGAAACTGCATCATCCATCTAACATGATGTGGACAAGCATACAAAGGGGTGAGGCGGGAAAGCATTTCCATGCAGAGTTTAATGCACCTTTTCATCCTTTGGATTGGGAAATACCTGCCTCTCCTCTTTTCTACAGGAGGTAAACCCTGTTCCTTGCTAACTCTGGTTTTTGACTGGAAGATGCAACAGAAGTTACTACTTTTTTTTTTTCCCCAGCTGTGGTGCACATGGACAGAGATAGAAGGATGTATCTAGACTGGTAAAACTGAGGCTCACAGCTAGCATTCACTTCTCCCAGACTTTCAGAGGAATCCTGACAGAAGCATCCTTGCAGGTGCTGAACTCACTGGGTTTATGTCAGATCATGCTGGCAACCACTGCAGTGTGGAGACAGTCAGAGCACTGCAGGCTGGCAGCATGACACTTCAAAGAAACAGAGAGATAGGTCAGTCATGAATAACATGCTCTTAAGAGGTCTCAAAAAAGAACTGAGCCTGTGATTTCAGAGTCTGCATTAGCTACAGTCCAAGAGAGAAGTTTTCAGGCAGTACCGGGCAGGAATCTTTGTGACTATGTCCAGAAAGAGTAAGCATATGTGATGCTTCCATGTTTCATAAATGCTATGAAAAGGCTAGAAATAACTTGCTGAGAATACTCTGGGCATAATTTAACTTGTCCATTACCTAATGGATTACCACTTCTGCCTGAAATAAAGCCAGGTGGTGGTGTTCAACAGGCCATGACCTGAAGGTCGCTTCCAACCCAATCTATTCTATCATTCTACCTTCAGGAAGCTGCTAATGTGCAACAGCAAAACAGAAATCTTGATCTGTGACAGCAAGACATGGTCATTTTGGAGCATGCTGTGGCTCGGAAGTATCACTCAAACTCTTCAAACAAAGCAAAGCTAAAACTACAGGTCTTCTGGGGGGTTATTTTTACATTTTTACCCCACCAGACTTGAAAAATAAGCCCATACTTTCGACAATCCAATAAATCTTCCACTTGAACAGCTCCAGAACTGCATCATGTATTAACACTGTCCAAGCTGAGGCTCTGCAGTCTGCCAAAATATTCAGACAGTGCTTTGGCAAAATGTTTGCTTCAATTCGTATCCTTGCACAGCTTTCTTTTCAGAGCCTCAGGGAAAGAATAGTTCAAAAGAAGCACCAATTAAGCAGGCTGAACTGCACAACACAAAGTTTCCATTCAAAAATGCCTGCTGGTTTTCAACCTGACGTGCCAGCACGATCTGTCTTACTGCTCTGATCAGAATCCCATGCTACATCATCAGTTACAGTTAAATCCTGATACAGTGATGACTGCTCAGGTAAACAGCACAGCAAACTAGATTTTCTTGCACTAATTCTTGTCATTGAGGTATGCATGAGCCCTGCAAGGAAAGCAAAAATAATCACAAACCTAATGCCACAGGTTGCCCATATTATTCTTTTTAGTTATTCCCAGACTGAGGGAGGGTCCCAAGATGGCTGTTGAGTAACAGCCCTGGCTGAAACCTGCCAGCTTTTCATGCTGTAGATGCCTTCCTGCAGAATTCTTTCCTAACATTTCACACAGACATAGTGTCCTCAAGTTTCACTTTAGCTGACCTACAGTAACAGGCAATCTGCTACCTCTCCCCCCAGAAGAGTCTTCAATTTAAATTATTATTCAGAATGTTTCTGCTCTAGGTAATAAATGGCTTAGCAGCAGTGAGCTTACACAACACCCACCTCTATAGCCCAAGTTCCAGGGAAAAATACACAAAGTTCTTCCAAGAAAATAAATCACCAGCCAGACTGCTTCAGTTGATCCAAGCAGTGCAAGTTCCCTGTAGAAAACGCGTGCAGTTTTCATACCACAGTGGATTCAGACTGTGCTTTCTTAACACTAAGTCTGAAATTGTGCATACTTACAAAGAATCTGAAAGTCTCACGCAAACTGACAAACCCACTTCATGTAACAATCTGCAGTTTTTTATGTTCTACATTACGACTGAGAAAAGCATCAAACCTCTGAAATGAAAAATGGGATATAAATGGTAAGGAGATATGAAAGAATCCATTCAGCTACACGCTTCTGTACACAAGTCACAAGAAACTCGGAGTATGCAATGGTACTGTCCAACACGAGTTTCGATTTGATAAGACTCATTAAAGTAGCTGCTGGCTTGCAGTGTTTGGTTTGATTCTGAACCAGTGCATATGATTTCCTGTAGAAGGAAATAAAAATCCAGTAATGAGATTTCAGTAAAAACAAATTCAGTATGTGAAAAAAAGAATATTTCAGCACTAATCAGTACAGCCCCGGTGCCTTTAGTGGAGCTATGCTAACACACACCAACCCACTCACTCCCAGAGAATTCTCACCTCACCAAGATCCCAGCTCTGCTTCTCTTTATACCAACAGTTGCACTATAATACATCAAAACTCAGTTTTTTTAAAGAAACTTTATTCCCATGACACAGTGTTTAAACAGAACTCAGAAGCAGGAGCTATATTGTTTCCTAGTTATGAAGTCAAACATTTAGACCAAAGAAAAGTTACTCTAAACTTTTTCTCCTTAAGAAGTTCCTTCCACTTCCCTTAGACTAGAGTTTATTTCCCTCATTGTACTAGGACCTGTTCCAGGTCTTTCCATTAACTGCTTTTAAGATTACTCTTTTTTTTAGTTCATTCTTTAAATTTTGCATAGTTTCAGAATTTTTGATCCTCTTCATTTTTTCATTTTAGGTTTTTAAAGGCAAATAAAATTACTATTTCTCCTTGATGCCATTCTTAGTAACATGTTTAAAGAATCCCATCTGAAATAGATTCCTAGTTTGTCTTTACCATGCTTAATTACTAAGGATGTTTTGTTTAAGATAGTGCTGTGAACAAAAGACATGCTGGAAAGAAGCAAATATACTGAAACCCACTGTGAGTATGGTGAGGGAAAGGGGGGCAGTACCACATGCTAGAACACTGATTTGCTCTGTACAACAGAATCCCAACATTATCAAAATTTAATCCCCAAATAACTTAGGCTATTAGAAATCGCTACCCTAAAATGTGCCACAAATTATTTCTTGTAACACAAGAGTCAAAATGCATGTGTAATGCAATAAGTGAAAAGCATTATAAATAGTAAATTACAATGAAGCAATTATACCAGCCAATCCACCCAGCACAGCACATTAAAAAAACCACAGTCAAGCATGAGTGTTAACAAAATCCTTCCTCCCAGTTATTTTGTGTAAGCATTTTCATACACAGAGGACGTCTATAAGGGAACAGCAAGAAAACATATTTACTTAACTACATTTATAAATTTGTCACTTCTTTCTCATTAACACGTCAGGAGTGATGATCAGGACTAGAAAAATCATCTTAAGATACTCTAAGGTAGATAGCAATTAAAACTCTGGGAAAGCCTTGTGACCTTCCACAGAAGAGGAAGAGAATACTGTTCTTTGTTCTCTAAACAACCACCCCTTGGTTATTTACAGTCTACAAAAACTGGGGGTTTGGTCTATGATTAGAAAAACGCTGGCAAAGACATGGGCTAGAAAGGATGCCTGATTACAGATTCCTGCTTGTCAGATGGGTACATTTTGAGTTTCTTCCAAAGGAGATACAAAACACAGTAATAACATCCCACCTCATATTGTCTTTACCATAATTAATTTTAAGATTGAAAGCATTACTACATGATTGAGCAAGGAATGTGAACTAGATGAGCTCTCATGGTTCCCTGCAGTCCAATTTCTTTGCTAAGTAAAAATACCAGACTGCGCACCACACCATTTTTATTCCTTTTATCTTCAATACATTTAGGACACACGAGAACAAACACGTTGGTGTGTAACCCAGTTAAAACCCCCCACCATTCTAAAGGAGTGTTTATTAAGCATAATTTATATTCATATGTTCAAGAGAACACATGATTAAACAAGGGGGGGGAGTTCAAGCAGTACAACATTTAAAAATACTGAGTTACTTTGTTCTGTATTATGAAATGTTATCTGTGCAGTACACTTCATTATCAAAGGTCTAATTCCACCTTCTAATTATAAACCAAGTTTGACTTAACACAGAAAAAAATGTAGGCTGATGACCTGGGACCAGAAAGGGCATCTCTGTCCCACTGCAGTAATTTATTTTAATCTTATTGATTAATATACTCAGGTTTGTCTTCAAATCTGACTAATTTCTTTGTGCAAAGCAATGACCAAAGATGTACCAAAAAGCTGCAGTTACACCACTTAAACCCAAAGCCTAAGTTTTACGTAAGCCAGTATATTTCCCAGCTTCAAGTTCACTTTTCCCTCTTTAAGTTTACTTTTCAAGTTTTACCTGAGGATGCAGCAACGCTGAACTGTCTCTCCAAATCAAAGTATTTCAGGCAGTTTGTCAAAAGTACAGCAACACTGGGACACCACAATTGTCAGCTCAATGAAAATAATGTAAGAAATCTTACGAAAATAAATAAATAAGAGAAAGTGTTTCATACCTATGTTTAAGAGCTGCAAACAGATCTCTAGCTTTCCAAGGGTACTTCAGTGACAAATTTCCTGATGCAGTTCAGATCTCTTGAATGCCAGAGTCAGGCAAAAAGAGCCATTTCTTATCTGCAGGTAGCATCAGCAGAGAAAAAGAATAAAACCAGAACAGTGTAGTTCAAACCAAGAGCTCTGACATTCACACGGACACGCAAAGCTCCCAGCCCCACACCACCACCCTACCCACCTAATTACATTCAGCTGCTTGTCATGTGGTCTTGTTGACTGATCAAGTGATCACTTTTCCTCCTTCTAACACAAAGCAACTAGATCTTCCTGAACCAGGTAACAAACACTGAGCCTGTGTGCTAACTACTGAGCCTGCTCCTTCTTGTCACAGGGAGAGGAAGTTGTACTATGTCCCATTACAAAAAAATAAAGTAAAATATAGCAAACACATACTGAAACACAGCAACCCCCAAAACCTCCCAAAACCTAACGGAAAATTTCAGGTTTGAGCCTGGTTTTATTTTATGCCTTTACAGATGGCAGAAAACTGGCAAAGAGACCTGAGTGAGACCACGTGAAAAGGAGCTGGAAGGATTTGGGAGGGCAGTGGCCCTACAGGGCTTTGTGGTCATCCATGTCCAGCCCCTAAAAAACAAACTCCAACAAAGACCAGAGATGTTACTAGAAAGTTTCTGAACCATTGCAGCTAAATCTGCAAGGCTGTATCCCTGTGTGTCCCAATCCTAAAAAATACATGCAGCCATTTTTAACATTTAAATAATCTGAAATATTTAAACATTTAAATAATTTTGAAATAAAGTTACTGATTTAACATGTAAACCAACTCTCCTCAGCAGGGAAGTCCATTCATCAGGGCCTACTAACACTGGCACCCAATGGGCAAGATTCACGTGTCTGGCTGCATTACAACTGATGGCTGCAGCAAGGCACTTGCTGGACGAAGGTCCCCGCGCTGGGTCCAAGGCGTGAGCGAGGAACCACACAGCTGCCTTCAGTCACCACGAGGCCACATCCCTCTCACAAACTCCCTTCACGCTGCAGATGCTAACAGCAGAGGACTGAAAGGTGTGCACAAAGTGTTTTGCACTCACCATGTAAGATGTAGCAGATGTGAGTTTTTACAGAGGAAAGGTTGCCTTGCACAACCCTCACTTGTCTCAGTTTATTTCCTCACAGTGTTTCAAGAGCAGAGAAGTAAAAAAGGAAACTAAGGTTTCCAAGACTACTCTCCAGCCTTACTATTTAAGACGTGCTGCAAACAGCCTGTGACAACATTTAACATATCCGTAATGCATTCATGTACCAGTAATGAAGACAAATCCACAAGTTCCTTCATTCACTTGTTTCAGCGCTCAACTCTCTCACCACCTTCCCTGCGAATCAAGGCAATTTTTATTGCCCTTTCTCCAGTGAATATCCAAGTCCTCTTACGTAGAGCTGGAACACTTTTTCATGACCTAACTTAACATTTATCCAGATTTAACTAAAATCCACTTCTTTGACATTTTGTTACCAGTTATAATTTGTGAAACTCTACCCATTCCAATCTTCTATAAATCTCACCTGCGATTCAGAAGAATAGAGAAGGCCAATTTTTGCTCTCACATGCAATAAAAAAGTTTGTGTTCTACTGTCAGCACTGTGAGAATTTTTAAACTTTAGGCTCCCCTGATCGATACCAGCACATCTGCTTACTGTGAAGAAATAGTCAGACCACAAGCACCCGAGAATTTCTGGTAAGTGCTACAGAGCGCAGGAGGAACAGGATAAGAAGTGTTGACAGACAAAGCAACAACTCTTGTGCTGTGTTGCAAACAGCCCTGGGGGGTGGCTACATGCACTGAGCACAAACTGTCTGTCTGGAAGTCTCAACAGCAATGTAAATGGCGTTCAAACTCTTCCACACAGAAAGATTTCTGACATCTTGAAGGGGAAAACAATTCCTAAATAATTCCCAGACTTCAGATTTTTATTTTGGAATGAAACAAAGCTGCTTAACTTGTCTCTTACCAGTTGGTAGGAGGAATACCAACTAATTTTCCCTTTCCCCTTCCAAGAAAGGGTTTTATCCCAAACAGTAAGAATTTGCTAGGAAGGTAAAGCTGAAGGGTTTTATCCCAAACAGTAAGAATTCGCTAGGAAGGTAAAGCCAAAATAAAGTTTATTTTCTGAGGGTCAAATTATGTTGATTTCAAACTACAGAGTTAGTACCAAAACACAGGGCCTCGGTTTACTAATGGGAAGGACATCAACGTTTGGTTACTTAGAGTCTCTGGTTTTAAACAAACGCATTTGCAGCTACTCAGCAAATGCTGTACAAACAGCTGAGCCAACCCTACTGCAGTGGCAGAAGGCACACACAAATCACGCAGCAGCAGCTGGAGCAGGAACCACTGCAGCCAGCCCAAGGCAAGCCTTCCTCTTGCTGCTACCCAAAACTTAGGGGTTTAGAAGAGCTTGGACATCTTCTAAGTTTATGTAGGGGATCAAAATGACACCAGGAAACTCCTGAAACTCTGAAATGCAGTTTTGAAGCTACAGCTCTGCAAAGGAATGTACACGTATTTAGTTACTAAATCTTCCCGACGTTTTTACAAGCAAGTTTTATGAACAGGTTGTATGAACAAGATGACCTGCATGCACGGAATTTAGGGCTTTCTTGTAAAAATGATTTAAGTTATAGAGGCACAGGAATCTAGGAGGAAATCTGAGGACAGTCAAATACAGTGGGCAGTGTGGAGCATTCCTCATCACACGCATCAGAATATTTGCCTTCACACATTCCATGCTCTTGAGAAAAGCTGCAAGTGTGCAAACCATCCTGTAGCAGGCATTTCCTCTGTACGAAAATGCTGCATTGTTACCTGTCTGACCGAGGCTCTTGAAGGAACAAAGACATCTGCCACTGGAGACAGAAACAGGGGAAGAAGAGTATCTAGCAACCATCCATTTCGATAATGCTACAGAACAAGTCATCTCTGTTTTCAAGGACGGTACCTGTGCCTAACATCAGTGACAACTGCTTCCATACTTCCCAATTACCCACTTCTGCTGCAGGTCTCCTCTCCAGCACTGAGCAGTTAATGGCTTTTTCCAACACACGCTAAAAACTCACCATGCCCTTACCAACAGCCATAGTTTTCACACATTCACTCAAGAGATGACCTGCAGGTCTATGGAATGAAAACCAGCCAGCAGGCAGCCAAGGTCAATGGTGTTTGTTAGCATCCACAAATCTTACCTGTGCCACAGAACCTCTGCTGGCAATCAAAGAGTTCTTAAAAAATGCCAGAGGAGGAAAAGCAGCCACTGGGGGACACTGCCCGTGAACTGATTCACATATACAGTGGCAAAATTCAAGAAGAGCCAGACTACATACTATATAGCAATTATTTTCCAGTGAGAGAAATACCCTACAAAATACAAAAAGAAGAGATGGAAAAAGTAATTAGGAAAAATATTAACATACTGTTGCAGGCAGATTCCTGCAACTGTAAAAGACAATTATAGTTGTTTCCTGGGAAAAAAGGCAGCTTATTACAAAAATATACTGGAAAAAATTAGAGGGACTGATGGGACTTTGCACTGCAAAGGAGAACTGATTGGCTGTCATGTGAATGAGCTTGCTACTTACTGCCACGGCAGTCCACAAACGCAGTAACACATCAATACTTCAAGACAGAACTAAAAAGACCTGAAAGGAGGACACAAAATTCTTTATATTGAATTTTTTCTGCTTTCCTCTCACCGATATCCTTCCAAGAAAAAACCAAAGAAAAGACAACCCACCCTCAGATCAGCTTTTACACCTGAAATGTAACAGCTGACCTTTGCCAGCATCAAATCATGAAATACCCCTTCAGTGAATAAAATCAAAGCAGGTCAGGCAGGCCTTCCTGCTACCCTTTTGCACCTCTGCAAAATACTTTGTAATACTGTAGATTAAAGGAAAGCTTCCATGTTTTGTTTTGAGGGTTTTTTTTGTCAACTATAAGCCAATCCAGGCAGTTTCTAGTGATGGTGACAGAGCTTTCTATTAACACTGCAAGAGATACAGTACTGGTATGTTGCCCAAAGAAGTGGTGAAAGCTCCATCCCTGGCAGTGTCCAAGGCAGGGTTGGACAGAGCCTTGGGTGACATGGTCCAGTGTGAGGCGTCCCTGCCCATGGCAGGGGTTTGGAACTGGATGATCTTAAGGTCCTTTCCAACCCAAACATTTCTGTGAGTCTATGTTTAAGGTCAATAGTGTTTTACACAGGAAAAAGCCTAAAAATAGCCCCTGCCAAGAGAGGCTCTAGGTGACTAACTTCCAAGAATTATTATTTTTATTCAAGAATAATAATAAAAAAAAGTCAACACTAAAATAACTGATAAATTGAAAGCAGCAATTTTGTTTTCAGGGACCATCATATTACCTAAAGGAATCCTTCCCAGCAACTGGGCACTCAACATCAGCACTTTGGAAAATTTTAGACCAAACTCTGTCATCTTTTCCACAGGGAACACATAAAAAAATTCCTTCCTGAAATAAAATGTTCTTATATTTGAACCCGGTAGCATCTCAGAATACTAGTAAATTACAAGTACTTTAATGCTAGTAAAATTATGCCAAATAAGTAGATCTAATTGATTTGTCAATTCTGAGGAACTACAAGTTTTCTTCCTCAACATCACTTTCTATTAATGTCAGTGTAGGCACAGTTTATCCTAAGGGAAACCCAAGCATGTAGGTGCCTGCTCAGACTCTGAATGAAAAAAGGGCAGAGGGGGAGGGGTTGGGGGGAGAATTAATCCCTGAACCAGGTTCTCTATCTTACTACAGTCCTGAAATACTAGAAATAATAGAAAAAAATACAGTGTCCATACACACGGTGTAAAGACACCAAGACAAGGAGAATAAGAAATTCTGTATTTAAAATGGCAATAAAATATATTAATGTAACAGCAAACATGATTATTCATTTTGACTGAAATGAACAAATTTGATCCTTTTGTATGAATTCCTTGACACGCTACAGCTCTTCTGCCAGGCTTATGTTGGTCCCATGTTTCGTAAAACTTAAGAAGTGGGTGCCTGCATGAAAAGAGCACCTAGAACAGCAATGCCTG